CTTATTTTTCTTGCCCTTTGCAATATTCTTCTCATTTTTACTCTATCCATGACGAACTCCAACGAGTTAATTTTATCAAGGACTTACGGTTTAGGGTTTAGGGTTTAGGGTTTAGACAGCTTCAGGGTCCCAGGACAGCCTTAACTGGTTTCTAGCTTTTGTTTGCGTGTTCTGTATCTGTTTGGATATAAGTGCTGTTCTGTTGTTCTCCAACAGGGGTATACAGTTTAGTACTTAGGGCTTAGGGTTAGGGTTTAGGGTTTAGGGATTAGGGTTTAGGGTTTAGGGAGCTGCTTCTCTAGGGCTAGCAGCATTAGTGAAGCTCGCGACTCTCCAGCACCAACAAGGAGTTGTGTTGAGCAGCAGAGGAAAGCAGAAACAAACGCGAAGAAGCCTCTAAACCCTCATGAGGGAAGAGGGTTTAGGGTTTAGGGTTTAGGATTTAGGGTTTGTTCATCATCATCATTATATATGTAGTACTGCCTCGGAGATCCAAGTGTATACATATTTGTGTATGTGTATATGTGTATAGGTCTGTGTGTCTGTGTGCGCATATATATACACATACATATACATATATATATATATATATGTATACATATAATAGGCATAGTAGATGCACGCATTGAACAGAAGGACAGTAATTAAACGGTTTTTATTATCCTTGTGGTGATGAGGGATCGAAATTTGAACAAATATTTTTTTAATTTTAAAGCGCCTGTATATACAATTTATATTTTCTTTTATAAGTATATATATATAGACATATAAAATATATAGACATGTGTAATACACTGAAAAATTTAATTTATTAAATCATTGACCAGTGGACCACCAGCCGAGGCCCCTGTTGCGCCGCGTTATACAAAGTACTATGATGAAAACTTTTTGGATTATTTTGTTTTTATTAAATATATTTGTTTTTTATTTAAATTTATCTTGAAAAACATGAAGAAAATATTTATTCTGGTGTTTCTCCCTCTCCTTTTTGCTGCTTCTTTTGCAAGAAACATCGACGTGACCTCATGCTGCATTTGTTTTGCTATTTCTAGTAAAAACCATCGAAACAGATGAAAGAAAGAATTTCAATTAATTTTAGAGGATTTACGTTTATTTAAATATATATTAAAACATTTTTTTAAAGAAAAACAAAGGACAATTGCAGTTCACACAGTGTTGCTGATCTATCGAGGTCGCAGGGTTCCTTTGTGTGTGCTGCTCTTGCATACACAAAGCGGAAGAAAGCAGCATTAATAACATTTAAAAATGAAAATTAGCCGCATAAATATAAATGCTGTTATTGCATAATCCAATTAAATTTAATTTTTTGCGTTTTTTTTGAAAATATTCACAACAAATGTTTGAACCTGAATAGTGGTCCGTGATCTGGGTCAATGTTTCTGATAGGGTCGGTACCAGCACACGGTTTTTTTTGTAGATTTTTTGCGGGGAAAAGTTTATTTAAATTGTTCAATAATATTAATGAGATAGTAAAAGCCAGAATAAGCGGAAAAAACTTTAAAATATCCATATATTTACCTTAAAAGCAATGCTTCCTCTTATAAGCTCCGCAGCGAAGGCAGTAACTCCCGCCCCCATAGGCTAGCTTGTGAAAAGCATAGGTTTTATTGCTTTTCTTCTCTATGTTCATATTATTTTATATTCTCTTATCCTGTCTAATTCATTGTTGGGTATTTGTATTGCAGGTATTTGTTGTTGATTTGTGTTTCTTTGTTTGTTTTCTCTGCCGGTTCTTTGTGTGTGTTCTTAGGTATTATTAATTCATACAAACCCCTGTTGTTTATTTGTGTGTGTGTGTGTTGTATATATTATAAAGTTGTATTTATTGTTATAATATATTGTATTATCTGTATATCTTCTTTTTTTTTACTTCTTTGATCTTGGAGAAGATGTTGCGTCTGCGTATTTTCTTGCGTTTTCTTTTCTTTTCTCTGTTGAGCTCGTTAGTTGTTTTCTTCCTTTCTCGTAGTAATGACTTCAGCGTTATAGAAGAGGCAAATGCTCAATACTATGGATGGGGAGGAGGCCGTTGGGGTAGAGGACGCTATGGGGGCTATGGCTGGGGCTACCCGTATTATTCAGGCTATTACTCTCCTCTTCTCTATGGATATAGTACTTTAGGTCTGGGTAGTGGTTGGGGCAGCAGTTATTATTATCCGTACAGCAGCCTCTACCCATACTATTCAGGTGGCTTCCGTTATCTTGCACATCTTCAGAAGAAGCAAAACCGCAACAGCAACAGCAACAGCAACAGCAACACAAACATCAACGACAGCAACAGCAACATCAGCAGCGAAAGCAGCATTCCAAGAGAGTTAAGATTTGTGCAAGGACAGGAAGCTGCTAGTGAAGAAGAAATACCTCAACAGCACTTCGATGGAGGAGCAATTGAGGAGACAGAAGAAGTAGATGAAGATCTAATAGCCCCTCAAATATTTCGCGACTTCTTCCTACCACTACTTGTAGAAGAAATAGCAATAAGAAATGCAGAAAAAACAGAAGGCAAAGGAACGACAACAACAACTGTGTTTCCTATACTAAAGGAGAGAGAGTTTGAACCCGAGAGAGAAGAGAGAGACAGTGAGAGGATAACAACAACAACAACAACAACAACAGCGTCTCCTTCTCTGGTGCTTTTGAAAGAAGAAAAAGATAAATTAGAAGAAGAAAAGGAGAGAGAGAGAGAGGTAGCAAAAGAGACAGAGACAACAACTCTACCTCCTCTTCCAGCACTAGAGGAGAACAAAGCAGCAGCAGAGCCGCCGCTGTCTGCACCACACTCTCACTCGTTAAGGATCCCAACTTCGTCATCAACAATACCACCTGCTGCAGCCCCAGCTGAAGTAGAGGAGAAGCATTCTGAGGAGTAGAGGAAGAAGCGAAGGGGTTAGGTGTACGGGGGGTGTTTATTGGTGGGGTTGCTTCTCTGATGCCACCAAACCCTAATAAAAAACCCTACTAAACCCCTAAACCCTAAACCCTAGTAATCATTTTCTCTCGATACAAGCAAGCTACAGAATGGACACAATAAGAGGATTAGCTGAAGTGCATGCAAAGGGAAAGAAGTAGAAAAACTATTTGCTTTCTATTTGCATGCAGAAAGGATGTTCTTCTTTCTGTCTGTACAGCTCAGCCATACATACCTATTGAATACTTGTATATATATATGTATATATAATGTGTATATATATTATGCATGTTTATATGTATAGTGCTTATTTACGTGTTATAGACAGAGTAAAATATGTATTATGCATGCAGGTATTCTTGTTCTATATACATCTATATAGCAATAGATACATGTATACATAAACAAGCAAATATATATATATTAACATATATATGTATATATATATATGTATATATATATATAAATATATATATACATATACATATATGTATATATATAGGTGTATATGTACTTGTGTGTTTGTATACTATGTGTATGTGGTGTAGGTGTAAATAGATATCTTTCTTCTTTTAATTTGTCTTTGTACTGACGAATTAAGAAGAAGGGCCGCAGCGCTTTTGTAGTTTGCACTCAGGTGTACGTACACCTCAATGGGGATAGAAAGAAGATTCGTTTGGGGCTTATCATTTATTTATATTTTCCTTCGCAGCGTTGCTTCTCAATAACAAAGGAGACAACAAACTCCTGTTCGTTTAATTCTTTTAATTCTCCACGGGTTTCTAGGGTTTAGGGTTTAGGGTTTAGGGTTTAGGGTTTAGGGTTTAGGGCCGTTGCTGCATATTTTATTTTATTTCATTTTCTATATAAAACAAGAATAGCAGAATAGGAAACGATCATACGCTTGCAAACCTAGGTGTATAGGGTATAGACACCTGAAGTAAACAGAATATATATGTATATATATATATACATATATATATATATATATATATATATACAAAACAATAGGCAGTTGTATACTGCGGCAGTGCGCGTTCATATCTATC